ACCTGTTAATGTCAAGTACTGTGCTAAGCTGTGGGGGATGTAAACAAAGGTCAAAGATCATCCTTGCTCTCAGAGCTCACAGTCTAATGGAGGAGACAAGATGTAAATGACTTTGTACAAACTATATACAAAGTAAATTGGAGATAATCACCAGAAACGATTAAGAGGGAGGAGGAAAGGCCTTCTTTAGAAGGTAGGATTTTAGCTAGGATTTGAAGGAAGTGGGTAATGGGGGGAGGAGGCAGAGATGAGGAGAGCAATTAAGACAAGAGCACAAAGTGAAAACAGAAAATATCCAAAGGACTGAGATTCAGTGTTATTTCCCACTATGCCATCCTCCCTGCCTAGGGTGGTACTGTGTAAAAGTAGCTGAATTTAGAATTGGAGCAACTGGGTTCAAAACTCAGTTTTGCCACTTACTACCTGTATGACCTTGGGCAATTCTCCAGGCTTCAATTTCTTCATCTATAAAATAAAAAAGTAGGACTAGGCTTTTAGAATCCCTTCTAGCTTTAAATCTAAATCTTATTTTTAAAACCAAATGATCTATGTGATTATAAACCACCAGTGTCTACTTAATCAAAGCCAGGTGTTTGGATGATTTGCAATGGACAGAACACTAGACCTGTAGTCATAGAATATGGGTTTGAATCATTCAGTCTTCTACCTCATAGATCCTAGGATCCTAGGATCCTAGATTTTGAGCTGGAAAGAACCTGAGCTGCCATTTAGCCCAACTTCTTCATTTTACTTGAGAGGAACTGAAACCCATGGAGGTTACATCACTTGCTCAGGATCACAGAGCTAGTAAGTATCTCAGGCAGAATTTAAATGCATATCTTGCTAACTCTAAGTCCAGCACTCTAGAAATACATTATATGGAGTTGTATTTTTTTTAATTAGGTGAGAGAGAGGGAGAAGAAGCAACTAAATTGCATTAATAATTTTTTTTTGCTTAGCGTTCTATAACATTAGCCTTCATTCCTCATGAAATGAGGTGCTTGGGGCATATTCTAGGACTCTGTCATACAACAGAAGGAAACAGACCTCAAAGCTGGTTATCACTAATTTATAAAGTCAATTAACCATAAACATATGATGGACAGTTGATTACATGCATTACTTTTAAAATGTTTCACTTTATATCTCTCCTGTCTGAAGCTGCCCTATACCTCTGGGCCAAGTCACTTAATCTCTCTCTGGGTCTCAGATTCTTCAACTAAATATAAGGTACTACCCCTTTCTTACATGAACAATTTGGTTACTAACAGAAGCAGAAAAATAACAATGGTGAAAAGAAGACTAATGAAATCCACTTGTGAAGACACCAATCTCACAAATCAAATGTAAGGGTGACAAGGACTGCTCTGAAGCCCAAAAAGAGACCTTCCTCTCAGATAAAAGTACTGTGAGAACTTGTTTGAAATCATGCAATGACTGTGGTAAGGATGGCTTCAAGGCATCATGGTCTATCAGCTCATTTGCAAGGGACTAATTTTTAGAGTTTGAAAGGCTGACCCTGACAAAATTATAAATCAAATATCTGGGAATTGTGGGGGGATTATTTAAGGACTATTGGGTTCATATATGACCCTAAAGTGGGTTTCTTGAGTTTTATATCATGAGGTAGAGTTGAATCACTGAACTCCAAGAAGCATTAATTGGAGGGTATAAGAATCCAGCAGGAGAAGAAGCCATAGAAAGAGAGAGACAAAAGAAACAGGAAAGTAAGCTGAGCTCTGGAGAAGTCATAAGAATCCTGGGACTGAGTTTTAGAAACTGACAAGAACCAAATGGACTGGAAGGCTTTGTAGTTGCATCTTGAGGAACTTGTTGATCACAAGAGGGGCATTGCTTTGTGATTAGCTGGAGAAAAGTTGGATCAGCTGAGAGAGTTCTTCAACTCTTGATATTGTATTGTTATTGATGATGGGGAGAAGAGCTGAATCCTGCAGCTATTAGAGGGTTGGGTTTATAGCTCTCTAATGGCATCCACAGCCTGAGAGAAGGGAAACTTCTCAGGGGTGTCTGGTTACTCTTTATTACCTTCTTTGGTTTGAGAAGTAAAAACAGAAAGGGAAGCACAGGCTTTTGGTCTGTTTTGCTGTGAGAAGAGGACTGGCTTTGCTGAGAGCCCACTAGATAAAGCAAAATTCCCTTGCCATTTGTAGATCTCTGGATCTCTGGATTATGGAAACTGCCTTTCACTGAAAAAAAGCATAACACTTTTTTTCAGCTTCCTGTTAAGTGGTGGCTGTGAGGTAAAAGAACGTGACACTGCTTCATAAGCTCCAGAGTAGAAGAGGAGTAAGCTTTATCCAGCACAAAAGCAGTGAAGACCAGAAGGGTCTGTACTTGAGAGAAGTAGCTTCATGTAGTATAAATTATTCTGAGGGGACCAAAGACATTAAAGCCTATATTTCAGAGATATGAGTTGCCCCTAGGCACATGGGTTTCCCTATTCATGTGACTCCTTGCTAGGATTCCATAAATGTATGCTCCCAGTTTCCCATAGACACCATATACATTAGTAGAAGAATGTGACTGAGGTTTATGGGTCAACTGTGATGCATCAAATATTGTTGCTCTGGGAGTAAAGTTTATAATTGTTGTGTGAGTAAAATTTATAATTATTATTGATATTTTCTTCTGAATAAATATTATGACTATTAAAAAAGAAAGTATCTACCAATTACGTCTTACAAGAAACCTCAAACAAACTCTCAGGAATGTCTTTCAGGTCAAAGGAAAAAATTCTATAAGCAGCAGGAAAGAAAGAGTGACAAAGAACACAGGATCAAAAAAGAGTGAACAGGTGTGAAGGAGGAAAGAGCATAGAATAAGATATTCTAAAAGGCAAAAAATGCAGGCTTAGCACCAAGAACAACTTACCCAGTAAAATTGACTATAATCCTACGGGATGGGGGAAATTGGCTTAATAAAATAGAGAACTTCCAAGAATTACTGATGAAATAACTGGAGCTGAGTAGAAACTTGAAACATAAGCAAGGGACTAAAGAGAAACATAAGGTAAATAGAAGCAAACCAATGGAAAATAATTTATGTAAGATGAAGTTTAGCATTCTAATGAGGAGGAGTGAGATTATACAAGCATCACCAAAAAACCATAATGTCATGGGGGGTCATAGAGGGTGCCAAATAAGTTGGAGGGCCTGGGGTGATTTTTGTTATGTTTTTATTATCTTAAAAGAAGAAAGGAAAATGAGGGAATATGTGAGAGCATACGATCTTCATATTGGTTTTGTCTCTCAATCTGATGTTCTTTCCAATCTGTATACCCCTTGGACACCTAAAGTCCTGAAAGAACTGTCATTGATCAGGGAAGGGAGATATTAGGGTGTAGTGGCAAAGTCAATAGACTCATAGAAGAAATCTGCCTCTTCTCTGTAACTGGTTACATAATCTTCTACAAGAACCTTCATCTTTCTGTGCGTCATAATCTTCCTCTTAATAATCCATAGATAGCACAGTGGATAGAATGCTGAACTTGGAGTTAAAAAGATTTCCTTCCAAATTCTGCCTTAGTTTCTTACTGGTCATGTGATCCTGGGCAAGCTATTTATCCTCTCTCAGCCTCAGTTTCCTTAAATATAAAATGAAGATAATTAAAACTCCTACCTAACAGAGTTGTGGAAATCAAATGAAATTTGTAAATCACTTTGCCAACTTTTAAAGGGCTATATAAATGCTATCCATAATTATTATTGCTTTAATATATGCATCTATGCAAATATATGAGAGGGAGCATGGCATGATAAATATAAAGTTAGTCTCAAAGCTAGGAGACCTGGTTTCACATCTCACCTCTGACACCTACTTGCCACATGACACTAGGCAAATGAATTATCTTCTTAGTGCCCTAAACAACTCTCTAGAACTAAAATGCAGGAAAGGTGCCAATGCACATTGGAAAAGGGAGTCCCTTACCAGAAGCTCCAAATACTGATGAAATCATAGGCTCAGGTGAAATATATGCATATATACATATGTATATACCTACATATATCATGCACATACTCATATGTGTACCTGTTGTTTCCTCCAATAGAATGTAGTCTCCTTAAAGACAAGTATTGTCTCATTCTTTGTCTTCATGTCCCCAGTGCCATGCATGGTGCCTGGTACATAGAGGGGCTTAATAGTTGTTTTTTTTCTTTGATTTATTAAACATGCAAACAAGCATCAATACCCAAACTTAACCAGGGACTTGAAGAGAGATGTCGGAATCATCAGTGCTAGTATATAGAGGGCTTACTATGTGACAAGCACTTTATAATTATCTCATTTTATCCTCACAACAATCTTGGGAAATCAGTGCTATTATTATCACTATTTTACAGGTGAGGAAATTGAGGCAAACAGAGGTTAAGTAGCTTCCCAGAGTCAAACAGCTAGCAACTGTCTAAGACTGGATTTGTACTCAGGTCTTCCAGACTCCAGACCCAATACTGTATCCACTATACCACTTAGGTGCCTCAAGAAGGCATGCATGACAGGAACCACACAGGATGGATGAAAGGATTTGGGCAGGTTGTGATCTGCCCCTGTGGAGGGTTCTTTCACACTGAAGAAGCCAAAGAACCTTTGACATCTTCAAATACGATTCTCACATATCGGTATACACAAGGCTCTATGATTCTGTTGGTGAGAGAAGGCCTGTGGGGTACCCTGACCCAGGCAGATCTCAACTTAATTTAAAATTTGGTAGGCAATCTTGGAGAGCTGCCTGAGCTCAAAGGAGTTGTGACTTTTCCACAGCCATTGAGCTATTAGGTGTCAGAGGCCAGATTAAACCCATATCTCCTGACTCAAAGTTCAGAGTCTTCTACTATAGGATAATGCCTCTATGACTTAGAGAAAGGAAGAACCAAGGCAAGGGAATTAGCAGAAGCCAAGGCTCAGAATTGAGTGGGAGAAGAGAAGGCATGAAGAAATGGTCTGGCTGGCATCAAGACAGCTCCTCATGTCTGGATAGAGCTTCTTCATATTCAGGAGGAATGAGCCAATAGCAGTTGCAGCTTCTCTGATGCAAGCACCACGGAATATTCTAGGAATATCCTTGAAGATCCAATTGAATGTCTGGGGACAAAAAGTGATTTCTTGTCTATTTGCATGCATATAGTTTTCTTCACAGCCTGGCTCTAGGGAAACAGATAACAAGGCAAGCTTCCTCTGTCCATTTCCCCACTTCCTTTTGGGATTCCCATTCTGGGTGGGTAAGGGCAAGGTGATGTGGGATCTAGGATTTACACACACACACACACACACACACAAACACACACACATACCATTTCCCTCTGAACTGCATTTTCCCCATTCAATAGCATCCCTCCCTGACCTGCCCCAAGAGTCACAAAATATTTTAGTATGGACATGTTTTATGGTTCTTGGTAACACTGCATTCTCCTCCTACCCCATTCCCCAGTTTCTCACCTTCCAATGTAACACAATCATGGATGCTGTAGTCTGTGAAAAAATTAGAGAGAATCACAAAAAAATGTACAAGTGAGAGTGCACCTAGAGATATGGCTCTCATATCCCCCTTTCTCTAGGCAAGAACACACTTGATCTCTGCCTACACCCTCCCCTGAGGCAAGGACTGTGCATTTCACAAACCAGACTAGGAGCTGCCTGTACACAAAGACTGTCTCCCAATCAGATCAATCATTCTCCAAGGATGGTGCCCAGTTCTCTTCTTTCTCCTCAAGTAAAGCCTCTAGGAACTTTCCTGGGGTCACTAATCTTCAGTATTTATAAATGTTGAAATGAATGAACAAAAATAAATTAATAAAAACATAACTAGCATCCATATCAATTAGTAGGTGGCACAAAACTAGATGGGAGTACTACCGTGTTGGAAATATTAAGACAAGCTAGGAACATGGGCCAAAACTAATATGATGAAATGCAACTTTAAAGCTTCTAACAGCAGGATATGGTAGGCATGACTATCTAATGGTTTGTTTGAAAAAAGATCTGGGGGATTTTTACCACATTGCAAACTCAGTTTGAGTTAATGGAATGACATGGCAATTGAAAAAGGAAGCATGGTTTTTAGGCTGTATTAAGAGAAAAGCCCAGTGGGGAACTGATATCCCCCTTGTCCTCTGCCCTGGTCAGTCCCAATTGGGAAAACTATATTGTAGTCAAGACCACTTTCAGGAAGGACACTGGCAACATGTAGAATATCTAGAAATCTACTGTTATAGGATAGGAAGAGAATGAGAAATGATGTCATACAATAGCTGAAGGAAAGGGGGAAGTTTGGCCTGGGGAAGAGAAGACTGGGGGTAGCCATGGTAGAGCTGTCACATGGAAGAGGAATTACATTTGTTCCACATGGAGGGAAGGTAGATGTAGAGCAAATTTTGTTTGTATGCTAGAAAAAATTTTAATAGAGTACTTCAAAAGTAGAGTGGGATAATACAGGAGGTGATTAGGTCCCTATTCCTTTTGAACTAATTTGAGGTAGGTTGACCATCAGAGTTATTGAAAAACTGCTGTTCAGTCAGATACACTTTGGACAAGAAGACCATGGTGGTCCCTCTGAATTCTAAGATTATGAGATTCTGACAATGCTCTTTTTGACCATTCAAGGAGCAAGTTCAGAAGCAAAGAGCAGCTGTGTGGCTTATACCTCAGGAGCAGAGAGTGTTCTCAGTTCTAGCTTTCAGCCCAGAGTGAAACCTGCTGAGGAATAACCAGGTCAGACCTCTCAGCTCAAAGGGAAGTCTGCAATTTTGCCACTCTAAACCAGAAGAGCTTTCCATCTCATCAATAGCAACTAAGTCCAGCAGAAATCTACTGAAACTCCAAGTGGGCAAGTCTGCTGCTCAGACCCAAATTCAGGTCTATAACTTGTAGAACTCAGACAAGGAGGGCAGAAATCAGACTTCACTCTAGATCAGACAATTTCAAGGCACTGAAAATTTACAGTTCCCCAATTGGAGCTGTCTTTGAGATCCTGGAAGAACAAAACACTCAATACCCCAACAAAGCAGCAGGACCAGACCATACAATCCCTCCTTATGTGTTCAGTACCCAACAGTAACATGAAGGGCTTAGGAAGTGGGCTTAAAGAATGAGTAAACCCAAAAAGCATCCTAACACAAAAATCACTATGGTGATAGGGACACTCAAGACACACACCCAGAAGAAGACATCCACAAGGAGAGAGAGAGAGTCAGAGAGACAAAGAAAAAGAGAGAGAGAGAGAGAGAGAGAGAGAGAGAGAGAGAGAGAGAGAGAGCTTGGGAACAGATTAAACTAGAATTTCTAAGAGATGAAGCACAAGTTTATTAAAAGAGAGTTGAAAGAGGTTTTTGGAAAAGAAATGAGATCTATGGAATAAAGAATCAGAAATAAAATTAACAGCTTGGCACAAGAGGTACAAAACCTTGCCCAAGCAATAAACTCCTTGAAAATTAGAATGGACCAAATAAAAGTTAATGACTGAATGAAATAACAAGAAATATTAAAACAAAATCAAAAGTCTGAAAAAATAGAAGGAAATGTAAGGTATCATAGCAAAACAGATTGAGGAGAGAGAATTTAAGAATGATTAGACTACCTGAAAATCATGGCCAAAAAGAAAGAACCGAGACATCAAATCACAAAAAATCTTAAGAGACAAGTCTCCAGATCCCCTAGATCTAGAGGGTAAGGTGGAAATAGAAATCAAAGATTCAAAGATCTTTTTGTTTCCCACACCTTCATAAGCTGATCAAACATCAATGTCTCCTATCCCTTACTAGTCTTGTCCTTTCCCCTCTCTCTCCATATACACACCTGTCTTCATTTTCTTCCATATAATGAAGGATGCAGCACAGCTCAACACCAGAATGACAACACCCAGGATGGTCAGGGTCACAGTCCAAGACCTCTTTTCAGGATACTTTACATGGACTGTGGCAGCAAGAGAAAGAGTATAAAGGGAAGACAGTTAATATGAATAGAAATCATCCCGGTGACAATGGGGAGTATACCCATTTGGAAGCCTCACCTGTTGGTATATTCTGGAGAAGTTAGAAGAAGGGGAAGGGATCAACAGCATTTCATGGCCAATCCTCCTGGGACTCAGCCCAACCAACACAGACTAAGCACTCACCAGGATATGCTTTCGGTGTCCCCAGTTCAATATGGTCCACTACACAGTCATAATTGGTCCCCATGTCCTCTGGTGGGAGCTCAATAGTGATTTGTTGGTAGAAGGTAGAATCAGCATTGGGCAAAGTGCCACTGGAGCTCTCCTTCCCAGCCACAATTATCTCCTTCCCCTTCTTCCAGTGCAACAGGATAGAACTGGGGTAGAAGCCAGTAGCAGAGCAGGTGAGGGTGGTAATGCCATCCATGGCTTCATAGTGGGATACAGTCACCTCGGGGGGCACTAAAGGTAGAGATCAGGAGAGAAGGCATCATATGCAGATCTCAGTAGCATTTTCTGTTCCCCTTGTCACTCTCTTTCTTCATTTCTCTTATTGTCCAAGGCCCTAGGACTTAGTGGTCATAAGGTCCCAGAGGGCAAGGTACTACATGATTCATAACATACTTTCTCAGTGTCCATCTTATACCTCTCCAGTGTCCTCTGCACACAGTTGATCCTCAACAAATGGTTGTTGAATTGTGGCCTCAGACACTTTCTAACTTTGTGACCCTGGGCAGGACAATTAACCTAGTTTGCCTCAGTTTCCTCACCTGTAAAATGAGCTGGAGAAGGAAATGGCAAACCACTTTAGTGATAGCAGTAATATCATCAGATTTCCAACCCAATTAAGAAGACAACCGAGTCTTGTTTATTACAATAGGATAAAAATCAGAATCTTCTTCAATGTGCCCTAGTGTCCTAGTACCCATGATTTCATCTATGTGTTTATTCCCTTCAATAATGAGGATCACAAATCCTCAAGATCACAAGTCTGGGAAACAGATTCATAACCTGGCCAAGAGGCCTGCTATAGCAGTGGTGTAGAACTTTAGTTATTCAGACACCCACTGGACCTCTGTATCTATGAAATCAGAGCAGCTAGTAATGGTGACTTGCCTTCATGATAATTTTTTCCTTCAAAAGATCGGAAAACCAACAAGGGAAAATATTTCTAGTTATAATTCTCACTTAAAATGAAGGACTAGCTGCTGATGTGGAAATGATAGAAACTCTGAGAGGAAGTGACCACTCCCTCCTTGATTTTGTGATAGAAAAGTCTAGGAACCTGGGCTGGTCTGATATGCCCTCAGCATTCTGGAAGAGTAAATTTCAAAGGGTTCAGAAAAAAACTAATCTTGTGTGCTAAAATTCTATAGAAGAAGCCAGACCAGGAGGAAAGAGAGTAATTCTAAAATGAAAATTTGAAGATATCAATGGAGACCATTCAGATGAAGGGGAAAAGGGGGATTTGTTCAAAAAAGACTGATGTGGATGCAGAGGTAACTCACCAAGCAATAGATTTTTAAAAAGAAATACACAGAAGATGGAATCTGGGGCAAGTAATAGAGGATGATAGTACTATCCTAGAAATAGTGTCAGGGCTAAGATGCAGAATGAGGAAGGCAATGTACAACAATAAAAAGGAGTATTTTTAAGCAATGTTGGGGAAAAGAAGATCCTCAAATGAAGCAACTGCTTGAGAGTAAATGGGATGATGATCAGTCACAGCAGAAAGGAGGCAAAGATATTTATTTTATTGCTGTTTTCTCTGTCAAGGAGATTTGCATTGGAGCTCAGAAAACAAATGACTAGTGGGGAGTTGGAGCAGAAGATGAGAATGGATAGATTAAGAGAATACTTGACTTCTTTGCAGTTGTAGTAGTAGTAGTAGTAGTAGTAGTGGTAGTGGTGGTGGTAGTGGTGGTGATGGTGGTGGTGGTGGTGGTGGTGATGGTGGTGGTGGTGGTGGTGGTGGTGGTAGAAGTAGTAGTGGCAATAGTGGTGGTAATAGTAGTAATTATATTTATGTAGCACTTCAAGGTTTGCAAAGCGCTTAACAAATATTCTCTCATTTGATCCTTACCTGGCCCACAAGAACCACATTCTTGTGTCCTGAAAGTGCTAACAGAGGGAATTGCTAATTTACTGACAGTGAAGCCTATCAGATCATGGAGAATGGATCAAGTGCCAAAGGACTAGAGAAAAGTCAGGTTGCCCTGATTTTTTTAAAAAGAGGATTTTTTTTAAAAGAGTCTGAAAACTCAAGCCAGAAAGCTTGACTCCCTGAGAAGATTCTAAAATGGTTCATTAAAGAAATGATTGGTAACTATCTAAAAAGGAAGCTGTGATTATAAGGAGCCAGCTTGTTTTCATCAGGAGCAGATAATGCCAGACCAACCTCCTTTTCTTTATTGGCAAGATTGCTAAGCTAGTAGATAAGAGGATTTCTTCAATATTGTTTACCCAGATTTAAGCATTTAAGAAAGTAGCATACCATACTTGGGGAAAAGATGGAATTAAGGTGGGCTAGATAACAATAGATAGATTAAGAATTGACTGAGTCAATTCAACAAGTATTTATTAAACTGTGGGTTGTAAACTGCACTAAGCACTGGGGATAAAGGAGAGGCAATAGATGTAAAGGCTGATACTATAAGCAAACTGAGAGAGCAAGGAATAGTTTACCTGTCAGATCTATGGAGAACAGAAGAATTCATGCCCAAACAGGAGATAGAGAACATTACAAAAAGCAAAATAGATAATTTTGATTACATTAAATTGAAAAGTTTTTGCACAAACAAAGCCAATGCAACTAAGATTAGAAGGAAGGTAGAAAATTGGGAAAGAATTTTTACAACCAGTCTCTCTGATAAGGGCCTCATTTATAAAATATATAGAGAATTAAGTCAAATTTATAAGAATACAAGCCATTCCCCAATTGGTAAGTGGTCAAAGGATATGAACAGACAGTTCTCAGATGAAGAAATTAAAGCTATCTGTAGTCATATGAAAAAATGCTCTAAATCACTATTGATTAGAGAAATGCAAATCAAAACAACTCTGAGGTACCACATCACACCTATCAGAATGGCCAACATGACAAAACAGGAAAATGATAGATGTTGGAGAAGATGTGGGAAAACTGGAACACTAATGCATTGTTGGTGGAGTTGTGAAATGATCCAACCATTTTGGAGAGCAATTTGGAACTATGCCCAAAGGGCTATCAAACTGTGCATACACTTTGACCCAACAATAGCACTTCTAGGGCTGTATCCCAGAGAAATCACACAAATTAGAAAAGAACCTACATGTACCAAAATATTCACAGCAGCTCTTTTTGTGGTGGCAAAGAATTGGAAATTGAGAGGATGCCCATCAATTGGGGAATGGCTGAACAAGTTGTGGTATATGAATGTGATGGAATACTATTATGCTATGAGAAATGATGAACAGGCTGACTTCAGAAAAACCTGGAAAGACTTGTATGGTCTGATGCTGAGTGAAGTGAGCAGAACCAAGAGAACGTTGTACACAATAACAGCGATGTTGTGAGATGACTAATGTTGATAAACTTAACCCTTCCTGGCAGTACAAGGATCTAAGACATCTGCAGAGGCCTTGTGATGGAAAATGCTATCCACACCCAAATAAAGAGCTATGGAAGCCGAATTGTTATTTTTTTTCTCTTCTATTGAGTTTTGTTTCCTCTTTCTTATGGTTCCTCCTATTGGTTTTAATTTCTACTTACAACATCACTAATGTGAAAATATGTTTAATATGAATGTAAATGTATAGCCTATATCAGATTGTGTGCTGTCTTGGGGAGGGTGGTGGGGAGGAAGGGGGAGAAAAATTTTAAACTCAAAAGCATATGGAAGTGATTATTGATAAATCAAAATAAATAAATAAATAAATGAAAGATGAAAAAAAAAAAGGAGAGGCAAAAGGACAATACCTGAACTAAATGAGCTTACATTCTACTGGGGAAGACAACATGGAAGGCACTTGGGGTAGGGCATTAGGCAGAATTTGTATAAATAGTTCAATGTTGACTTGGCGAGAGGTCTCCAGTGTAGTACCCCAGGGATCTATACTGGAGCCTTTATTGTTTAACATTTTCATCAATGATTTGGAAGAAAGCAGAGATGCCATGATCATCACATTTGAGTGTGACACAAAGCTCGGGGTGGGGGAATAATCAACACATAGGATGACAAAGTTAAAATCCAAAAAGATCTGGAAAGGCTAAAACATTGGGCTGAATATTACAAGGCAAAATTCAATATGGATTGATGTAAATGACTTTATATGATCAAATTCACTAGAGAAGATGGAAAAGGCATGTTTAAAAAGTAATTCCTCAGGAGCAGCTAGGTGGGTCAGTGGCTAGAGCACCAGCCCTGAAGTCAGGAGGAACTGAGTTCAAATCTGGCCTCAGACCAAACACTTGACACTTACTATCTGTGTGACCCTGGGCAAGTTACTTAACCCCAATTACCTAAAAAAAAAAAAAGTAATTTCTCTACTTTAGAAGATGTGTCTTCATGAGTTGTGGTTACAAGAGAGTATTGTCATCATCAAAACAGGGTGTTCCCTTCCCTTTTTATGATAGACATCTCTACCTTTAGCTGGATTAGTTATTGAGAAAGAGACAGAGACATGGAGATATTCTGTCTCTGGGCCTTCATTTCCCTAATGTGATGAGATTAAGCAGAGCTGATGTTTAGTAAGCATAGGCCTAGAGACCTCAGGGTCACCTCAGGTCATCAGGGTCATCTCCACATAAGAGAATGACCACAGTCACATAGAATAATAATTCTCCTTTCTCCACTGCTGATTTTTCCCGTAGTGATCGGAGCTGAAGCCAGTACCCAGTTCTTTGACTTCTCACACACACCAGGGCATCAGCCATTATCAGGAAGGTAGGAAAGAGTGACTTGGATGTCCTGATGGGAAGTGGGTTGGAAGACCAAATACTCACTGTTCTTCTTTATATGCGAGTGCTGAAGAATTTTTTTCATGGTGTCAATACAATATTCTTGCATGTATCGTTCCCTCTGAATGGTCCTGAGGGTCCTTGTCAGAATGGATTTGAAGGACTGAGCCTCAGGCATCAAGGCAATCCAATTTCCCATCTCCTCATCCAGGAGGCAAAACTCCTGACCATCCACAGCAATCTGGATTTCATTTCCTATACGGTTGTTTCTCTCAATCTCACAGTTTACAGAGACCTGCACCGTGCGGTTCACTGTGGGAGGAGGTTGAAACGTGATGTAATATGACTACTGGATCTGGAGTCAGTAGAACCTAAATATGAATCCTAGCCCAGACACTTACTATCCATACATCCTTGGAAAATGACTTCACCTCTATTCCTCAGTATTCTCATTCATCAAATAGGGGTAATGGTTACTTCTCTTCTTGTGGTAAAATAAATGTATATTAAACAAACCCAGGAACTATGTGAACAAAATTACAAAACACTTCTCACACAAATAAAGTCAGATCTAATTAATTGGAAAAACAGTTGCTCATGGGTAGGCCGAGCTAATATAACAAAAATGACAATTCTACCCAAGCTAATTTACTTATTCAGTGACATACCAATCAAACTACCAAAAAATTATTTATAGATTTTTTAAAAATAATAACAAGATTTATTTGGAAGAACAAAAGGTCCAGAATATCAACGGAACTAATGAAAAGAAATGTAGGGGAAGGTGGCCTAGCCATTCCAGATCTTAAATTGTATTATAAAGCAACAATCATCAAAACTGCTTGGTACTGGCTAAGAAATAGAGTGGTGGATCAGTGGGATAGGTTAAGTATGCAAGACACAGTAGTCAATGACTATAGTAATCTATTATTTGATAAACCCAAAGACCCCAGCTTTGGGATAAGAACCCACTCTTTGACAAAAACTGCTGGAAAAACTGGAAAAGAGTATGGCAGAAACTAGGCATAGATCAAAATCTCACACCATATACCAAAATAAAGTCAAAATTGGTCCATGATTTAGATATAAAGGCTGATATTGTAAGCAAATTGGGAGAGCAAGGAATGGGTTACCTATCAGATTTATGGAGAACAGAAGAATTCATGACCAAACAGGAGATAGAGAACATTACGAAAAGCAAAATGGATAACTTTGATTAAATTAAACTGAAAAGTGTTTGCACAAACAAAGCCAATGCAACCAAGATTAGAAGGAAAGTAGAAAATTGGGAAAGAATTTTTACAACCAGTCTCTCTGATAAGAGCCTCATTTCTAAAATATATAGAGATTAAATCAAATTTATAACAATACAACTCTATTCCCCAATTGATAAATGGTCAAAAGAATATGAATAGGTAGTTCTCAGATGAAGAAATTATAGCCATCTACAGTCATACAAAAAAATTCTCTAGATCACTATTGACTGGAGAAATGCAAATCAAAACAACGCTAAGGTACCACGTCACACCTATCAAATTGGCCAAGATGACAAAATAAGAAAATGATAGATGTTAGAGAAGATGTGGGAAACTTGGAACCCTAATGCATTGTTGGTGGAGTTGTGAAATGATCCAACCATTTGGGAGAGCAATTTGGAACTATGCCCAAAGGGATATAAAAGTGTGCATACCCCTTGACCCAGCAACAGCACTTTTAGAGCTATATCCCAAAGAGATCATACAAATGGGAAAAGGACCTGCATGCGCAAAACTATTTATAGCAGCTCTTCCTATGGTGGTAAAGAGTTGGAAATTGAGGAAATGCCCATCAACTGGGGAATGGCTGAACAAGTAGTGATATATTAATGTAATGGAATACTATTGTGATATAAGAAATGATGAACAGGCTAACTTTAGAAAAACCTGGAAAGACTTGTATAGTCTGATGCTGAATGAAGTGAGCAGAACCAGGAGAACATTGTACACAATACAGCTATGTTGTGTGATGACTAATATTGATAAACTTAACCCTTCCCAGCAATACAAGGATCTATGACATCTCCAAAGACCTCGTGATGGAAAATGTTGTCCACATCCAAAGAAAGAACTATAGAGTTTGAATGCAGATTGAAGCATACTATTTGCTATTTCTTTTCTTCTGTTGAGTTTTGTTTCCTCTTTCTGGTGGTTCCTTCTATTGGTTCTAATTCTTACTTACAAAATCACTAATGTGAAAATATGTTTAATAGGAATGTATATGTGTAGCCTATATCAGATTGTACACTGTCTTAGGAAGGGTGGTGGGGAGGGAGAGGGAGAAAAATTTTAAACTCAAAACCATATGGAAGTGATTGTTGATAAATCAAAATAAATTAATTAAAAAAGAAATATATATACATTAAAAGCAAGATAGAAATGTGAGCTACTATACTGATGTCACAGGAAGGCAGAGAACTTTGGGGTACCCAATATTGTCAAAGGTTATCTTTCGGGGTCTCTAAGGATTACCTGTTTACATCAATTTCTTGAGCTCCTAAGGGAGGCAGATATTCTCTACCTATGAATAATCTTGATCAAAGTAAGCTGGGAAACTGTATTCTTAAGAAAGAATAGCTTAAGACCTTGATCATGTCTGTATGGGCCTGACCAGTTTCCTATTATGTGAGCTTCCAGTCACCTTATCTTGGTGTATTACTTGTGAATTTGTACATGCCCTTTTTTCTTGTGAGTAATCCCTAGAAAAACAAATTGGTGGTTTAGAATGTGTGAGGGCAGGCTAGGGAAGGAGCAGATGGAAGTTACTGCTGTAATTAGACATTGAAATACAGTGGCCATGGCAAAAGAGGAGGTTAGGTAATGATTAGCTGGTTAGTTTATACAGCAGATCTCTGAACTCATAAATCATGGCAGAACAGGGGGTTAATTGCTTCAAAGTGAAGTTCAACTATAGGGACAATACAGAGGGCAGAGGAAAACGGTAAACTTCCGGATGAAGACAAAAGTCTCCCTGGAGTGTCTGGTACATAGCGGGCCCTTAACAAATGTTTATTGATTGAATGATTGATCAGTTCCAAGATAAGGAGCCAATGTCCTGGGAAGCCGATGTAGTTCAATATAAGTCAAGTCCTTCTCTTCTCCCTAAAGTGCCCTGAGAACCTGAACACTCAGCCCAATAGCATGGCTTCTTAGAAAAGGAGCCATTGGGCTTGATGGAAGCAGAGTGAAAGAAGGGAGAGGAAAGGATGCATGGGAGAAAGGAAGAGGGGCTGCCTTACCATCATGCTTGGTCTCATTCTGCATCAACTTCTTCAGGAACCAGAGGAAACTCTTCTCATGATCCACTAACTTCTGCTGAGTCTTTGCTATGAACTTGGCCCCCAAGGCCTGGGAGATCCAGTCCTCCTTGGCCATGAGCTGCTGGTTATGTTTGTCATAGGAGAACACCTGAACATCATCCAGAAAGTCCACCATAAAGTGGTCCAGGAGGGAGCTTCCTGTGCCCACTGTTGTGAACTGTATCTCATGCTTGTGGTGAGCTGCAGGACAGCAAGGGATGGGGAGAGAAGAGAAGAGGAGATCAGGTGTGGGGGAGGTCAAGAACCCATGTGCCTTCTCTCACTCATCCCTTTGTTCTCCTGCTACTCGGGAGACAACTAGGCTTCCTTGGGCCACCTTGTGAAGAGACTACCCACAGTGGATAGAATGCTGGATTTAGAGTCAGAGAGACCCCAGTTCAAAACCTACATCAGATACTAACTGTCTAGTCACCTTGGACAAATCAGTTAACCTCTTTGTGCCTCAGTTTACTTGTCTATAAAATGAAGGGGTCAGACCTGAAAGATTCCAAGGCCCCTTCAGGCTATGATCTCCAACCATCAGGAGTAAAACTGTACTGAGTGAGCAAGGTAATTCAAAAGGGGCAAAACATCTTTCCAATCAGTGCCTAGTATAGCCCTGAATATAGTGAAGGGCTCAGGGTTTGGCTAGTTTCTTTAGCAGTTAATCATTCATGCTATAAGCACTGTGCTGAACTCTCTCTGTTTCCATATTGAGACAGTTTAGGAAGCACCAAGGATACTGTGAAGATTAGGAGTGTTAGTATGGAGGGAGGAGGAGACACAGCTAAACTGAGAAAGTGGAAACAGAGGCTGTGCAATCATGTTGGTGTATTAGAGTTTATCACAGTTTTTTAGACACAGGGCAATGCAGCATAAGGAAACAGGGGAGGGGTCAGTCAAATGCAATCAGTAATATTGGTTGCATTGGCATTGAGTCCTTAGGTTTTTTCCCCTATGTGTGTGTTCTTGTGCTCTTCTCCTCTGCTGAGGGAAACCAACAACGCAACTCCCACAGATGCTTCCTCAGTACGTTGAATGCAACTGCCACTGTTTTGCAAAACTGTGAAGTTGCATGCATAGGCAGCTCCCCAAGACCTCCTCTGAAGAGTTTTGATGGCAGGGTCAATAAAAGCTGATTAGACCAAGATGGTTTGAAGCCAAAATAGATTCAGAGCAAGAGAAATGGTGTGTGAATTCTGGCGCAGTTACTACCTAAGAAAATCACTTTCCTTCCCTGGAACTCAGTGTCCCTTTTCTGTAAAATGAGAGTCTAGTGTAGATAATATCTAAGGTCACTAGGTGTAGTAGGTATAGTACTAGAAGACCTGAGTTTAAATCATATCTCAGACACTTACTAGCTGTGAGACCTTGGGTAAATAATGTAACCTCTCTTAGCCTCTGATTTCTCATCTGGACAACAAGGATAAGAGCAACTGCTTCTAAGTGTTGTCATGAGGAATAAATGAAATGATGTATTGAAATCATTTTGCAAACTGTTGTTATTATTCTTGGCTCGAGTTCCCTCCAGTTATAAGCCCTATTATTTTGTGATCTTACATGAACACATTCACAAAGTGGTGGCAGATATTCCATTTAAGAAGACTAATATATATATATATAATATATAATAGATATATATATATACGCACACGTATGCATGTACTTATACGTGTGTGTACAAAATACACATGTACACATATATTTGTACAAATGGCCGGCACTTAATAAATGTCTATTGAATTGAATATATATAGATGTATAGATGTATATAGGTATATATGTGTGTATGTATTTATGTGTATATATACGTGTGTATACACACACACACACACACACATACACACACAATGTTACACTTTAACTCATCCTCAGTTGCCTCATTTCAACTTCAAGTTCTGTGCCTGTCTTTTTAAAACCTGAATTGATTCAGTAATTACTAGAGTCTCTTTAGACCACCCTCAACTCCTTTTCTTCTTCATTGGAATAATTGTATTTGGGTCATCAGAGTTTCATTTCTGAAAACAATCCATTCCTTTTAAACCAACTTCCTTCATGGAATTATCAGCCTAGTTATTTTTGCTCTGAACTCTGAAATCCACTCTTCCAAGGTGTAAGACACACATCATACTATGTCAGAAGTTTCTGCCTTAGCCATCCTAGTAAGGGTCAACATTTATATAGTGTTTAAAGTCTGAAAAGCATTTGGCATCTGTTCTCTCATTTCACCCTCACAACAACCCTTGGAGGTGGATACTACAGGTGTAATTATACTGTTGTAGTTTTTCAGTTGTTTTCAGTTGATGGAATCCTAATAAAGCTGCCTCCAGCCCCAATATTCTAACTGCCTTATGGGCCTCACTGGAACAACAGGCATGTCAAGATTTAACCTCACAATCTGACTTTAACCACACTACAAGACCCTAGACTCAGTATAGCCATCGCCCCTACCTAGCCACTGCCCACTCCATCCCAACTCAATTTCCTAACTTCCTCATATATGCCTCATTGTTGAACAACAGGTGTGTCCATGAACTTATGCTTCTCACAGAAACAGCAGGCATGTCCATGTGATGGGATCCCAGCCACTGCATTTAGCTAGCCACCGCTCCCAGACCCATTCCTCATATTTCCCACAGAAACAGCAGGTGTGTCCATGTACTCAACCACAACCACATCCATCTAGTCTCAGACAGGACCACAATACTCAACCAATAAAAAAGCAGCACCACCAGGATAACCGATGTGGACCCCAAAACAATAGAAGGGACTTTCCCTAAAACAACTACACAGTAATAGCAAAAACTGTCCTTTAGTTGAACTTATGACATAAAGAGGCTTATTATAACATCATTATCATACATACAAGCCCACCCAAAAAACAGGCTTTTCTATATGCATTATGGATAATCACATGTGTAGTTCTACCAAGTCTGGGACCCCTTGCCCATTACCTAATCCCTTAACAAATCCCTCCTGATTATTTAATATTCATAATTTCTTTTGTGTAATAAGCATCATTACACTATATAATTGTCTTGTTTTGCTGGTTCTTCTTGAAACTAAACCCATTGGAGGCATCATTCACAATAAATGCCTATACTTGAATTAGAGGTGATTTGACTCTGTGAATTCATTCCAGATGACCCCTAAAGCACACCATGATACCACAACGCAGTCATGTCCAACTCTTCATGACCTCATCTGGAGTTTTCTTGGCAAAGATACTGGAGTGGTTTGCCATTTCCTTTTCCAGACGAGGAAACTGAAGCAAACTGAGTTAAGTGACTTGCCCAGGGTCACACTGTAATAAGTGTCTCAGGCCAGATTTGAACTCAGAAAAGTGAGTCTTCCTGACTCCAAGTCCAGCACTCTATCCACTGTACCACCCAGCTGCCTCAGTTATACCATATATACTTAAATATATAATAGACCATATATACAATATAATAGAATTATACCATATATACATATATACCATATATACACATATAAACATACACATATATTATTAAGCACCAGACCCTGAAGATACAAAAAAAGGCAAAAGATAGTTCTTGCCTTAAAAAAAAACTCAAAATTGAATGGGGAGACAACAAGCAAACAAATACGTACAAACAAGCTACATACAGGAGAAATAGAAAATAATTAAGACAGAGAAGGCACTAGAATTAATGGGAGTTGAGAAAGGTTTTGTGTAGAAGATTAGATTTTAGTTTGGACTTAAAGAAGCCAAGGAAGCCAGTAGATGGAGCTGAGGAGGGAGAGTATTCCAGACATGGGAGATAGCCAGAGAAAATGCCCAGAACCAGGAGTTTCTGGAACTTGTTCCTCGTTCCTTGTTCCTGGAAAAGCCAAGAGGTCAATGTCACTGGATCAAAGAGTAGGTGGTGGGGAATAAGGTGTAAGGAGACTGCAAAGGTAGGAGGGGGCAAGGTTATAAAGGGCTTTGAATGCCAAACAGAGCATTTGGTATTTGATCCATAAGGCAATAGGGAGTCACTGGAGTTTATTGATGAGAAGGTGACATGATTAGGCCTGCGTTTTAAGAAAATCACTTTGGGGTGGTGCAGTGGATAGAGCACTGGCCCTGGATTCAGGAGGACCTGAGTTCAAAGCTGACCTCAGACACATAACACTTAGTAGCTGTGTGACCCTGGGCAATTCACTTAACCCCATTGCCTAGCTAAAAAGAAAAAAAAAAGAAAATCACTTTGGTGGCTGAATGGAGGATGGATGAGAGTGGGTAGAGACTTAAAGTAGGTAGATCTACCCATTGCTATTGCAATAATCCAAATGTGAGGTGATGGGATCCTGCACCACGATGGTAGCAGTGTCAAAGGAAAGAAGAGAGTATATTTGAGAGCTGTTGCAAAGGTGAATCCAACAGGTCTTGGCAACATATTAGATCTGGGGAGTGAGAGATAGCGAGAAATCCAGGATGACTCATAGGTTGAGAACCTGGGAGATGGGGAGGACGTTGTTGCCCTCTGCAGTAATAGAGTAAGAGGGGGAAGGGCTTAGGAGGAAAGAGGATGATCCAGCAGAAGAGACCAAGAAGGAGAGTAGTGTGATGAAAGCACAGAGAAAAGTGGGAGATCAATAGTGTCAGATGCTGCAGATGTCAGGAAAGATGAGGATTGAGAAGAAGCCAAATTTGGGTTCCTAAGGAAACCACTGGGGTATGCACCGGCAATTGAGGCTGCCATTTGTTTTTCATCCTTCCCCTTTCTCCCCAATTATTTTAGTACCAATTAAAAGAAAAGGGATGATGTTACCCCAGACCTCCAATGGCAGACCTACACTGACTCTTGTGGGTGCTAACTATTTTTGGTCAGTCACTTGGTAACTCTGGAGTCTGCCAGGGTCCAACAACCTTACATCAACTCTACTTCTCCTCTCACTATTCTTAGGCTATAGCTATGGGAACTAGGTAGAAGCAACTTGTAGGAAAATTTTATTTCAAAATAAAATTTTTCTAACTAGAGATAAACAAAATTCTAACGAATTGCCTTATAGTATTACAGAATTTAGAGTTGGAAGGGGTCTCAGAGACCATTTATCATGCCTGAAAAGAATTCAGACCCTAATGTGTGGTCATAAGCCTATGCTTAAAGTCCTAGAATGAAGGGGAATCCATCTCTGGCAGTAGCCCAAGTCTTTTGGACAAAGTTCATTGTTAGGAAGGTTTTTCCTGACATCAAGCCTAAATGTACCTCTTTGAAACTTCTACCCATTGTTCCTGGTTCTGCTCTCTGGGAACCAAGCAGAAAGAGTCTAATCCCTTTTCCACTGGACAGCTTTTCAAATATTTGAAGATAGTTACATGTGACACCACTTCGTGCTCTATCCCCAAGTATCCTATTCTCTCTTCTGAATATCCCCAGATCTTTTAAGAATGTAGTGGGCTCCTCACCACTGGGCAGGTGTTCAAGCAGAGGCTGAAAGAGCACTTGGTAGGAGATATTGAGGGGAGTGGAAATTCTTGCTCTGATATGGATCTGATTTTCCAGAATTAGGTTAAAATGTTATTGGGAAATGTTTAACAAATAAATAAAATACAATACAATCTAGATAACGTGAATGTTCTAAGTCTAAAGTTCTTGTGCTGCCACAAAGACACATCTCTGTCCTTCAGGAACTCATATAAATTCTGGGTCTCTAAGGTCATTTCCAGGGGCAGTGAGGTAGCGCAGTGAATAGAGTGCCAAATCTGGGAAACAAGAAAATGTAAATTCAAATCCAACCTTGGACACTTACTAACTATGTGAACCTGGACTAGTCATTTAACCCTGTTTGCCTCAGTTCCTCATTTGCAAAATGAATCCTGGAAAAGGAAATGGCAAATCACTCTAATATCTTTGTCAAGAAAATCCCAAATGGGGTCACGAAAGAGTTGGACGCAACTGACGATAACAAAACAACAACAAAGTCATTCCCTTCCATTGAAAGGTGCCAGTAGGAGTGGATATAATAGCAATCAATGGTCATGAAGTTGAAGGAACATGCTCTTTACCTTTCACCAAGGTAAGAGGAAGCACCTTGGTAGAGAAAAATCCAGCTCTTCACTTCCTAGTTTTAATTAGCTTTGGAATCCTAATAAACACTTGACTAAGAAATAGTCTATTGTCATACATGGCTGGATGTTGGAATTCCCATTCCATTCACTCCCTGGAGAAGAGAGGTGAAAGAAAGAAATGGGAAGGAGAAATTCTAGGAGACTGAAAAAAAAAAGGACTTTGATGTTCATTGCCCAGTCAAGGTCAAAGGAGAGGAAAAAGAATCAGGTAAGAGGCCCCATCAACTGTACCAACCCATCCATTCAACTTCTAGACATTAATGAAATTAAGGAAAAAAAGCTTTTCTTCTGTCAGTTTATTTGTCATGAGACTTGTCTTTTATTTGTTTGCCTCCACGTGAAGTGTCTTGAAAAATTCCAAACCTGCCTCTACTAACTTCAAGAGGAAAGGGGATATGTGGAATGTTTCTCACAGTAAAGGAAGAATCAGCCTGCCCCCTGTTGGCCAGCCACGGTCATGAGGGCAGAAAGCCTCCTCTGAGCTCCAGGGTGAATTGGTAGTACCAGGGATTAATTAAAAGCTAAAAAGAAGTTCTAGTGAGTCATTTTTCTGGCCCAGGACAGCTTATGAAGAGAGATAAAGAAGTCTATGGACCTTAGGGTAGGGGCTGGCCAGAAGCCCAGCAGCAGCAGGCTGTGGTAGTGGCAACCATATCAAGAAGCAGCCACTCAGTGCTCAAGGACAATGAGGGAACTGAAAACCTAAGCAGAAAGATGTCTCAAGGAAATCTTATACCAAAACTAGGAGTAGGAGTGGGTTCCATCTGGCACTTCTGTCCATCATTACTCCCCTGCAGGTCACAGTTCCAGGTGGAGAGGAGCAATCATGGTCACAAGGAAGCAAGGAGTTTATCTGTGTACAGAGTAAGAAACAAGTTCCACAACCATAGCTGTGTGATTCTAAGCCCAAGAGCACAGTAGCGACTCAGTTCTAACCTTTAGCCCCACACATAAGCCTACGATGGAACAACCTAGGACAGGAGACTGAAACTAAGGGAAAATCATCTGTTCAGTGGCTCTGAACCTATAGAACCTCCCAGCAGACTACAACAGGGTCCAATAGCTGACTATGGAAACCCAATCACACATAAGCCAAGAAACCCAAACTGAGTCAGGAATTTGTGAAGCACAGACCAGGAGGGCAGGAAATAGATCTCTTCCCAGATCACACCGTTTTGGAAGCAACAAAGACTTACAGAACAAGTTGTGAAATCAGCTGAAGTACATAAAAGACAGAAGCTCAGGCCAGTCATCTTCCCCCAGAAATGAACAGAGCCCAACTCTGACACAAAGTTCAAAGTCAAGAATAGGCTGGGAAAATGAGCAAACACATACACACACACACATGACCTGATCACAAAAAGCTATTATGGTGACAGAGAAGCTCAGAACACAAACTCAGAAGACAATGACTTGAAAATATCTACAAACAAAGCCTCAAAGAAAAAGTGCAGATTGGACACAAGCCCAACAAGAATTCCTGGGAGAGTTAAAAAGTTTTTTTAAGAAGCAAGAAAATTATTTTTTAAATCAACTAACAGTGGTAGAGGATAAATTGAGAGAAAAGTAAATTAATACCTTGGTAAAAGGGGTACAAAAAATAGTGGAAAAATAACTTCTTAAATATCAGAATTGGCCAAATGGCAGAAGAATCCAATACAATACTGAAGAAAGTAACTCTTTGAGATTCAGTCTTGGGCAAATAGTAAAAGAGGTACAAAACCTCATTGAAGAAAACAACTCCTTAAAAATTAGAATTGGGCAAATGGAAACTAATGACTCCATGAGACACTAAGAAACCATAAAACAAAGTCAAAAGACTGAAAAAGTGGAAGAAAATATGAAATGTCTCATAGAAAAAAATAATTGTCCTAGAAAATAGATCTAGGAGAGATCTTTTAACCATCATTGAACTACCCAAAAGCCATAAACAAAAAACAAGCCTATACACATTTAAAGAAATTACAAAGGAAAGCTACCCAGATATCTTAGAACCAGAGGACAAAGAAGAAGCTTAAAGAATCCACTAGTCACCTCCTGAAATAAATTCCAAAATGAAAATTCCAGGGAATACTATAGACAAAATCTAGAGCTCCCAGGTGAAGGAAAAAATAATTAAAGCAATAGAAAGACATAATTCAAATACCATGGAACCATAGCCAGGATTATACAAGATTTAGCAGCTACTACTATAATGAAACAGAGTGCTTGGGATATGATCTTAAACAAATCATTTTACCTCTTGGGGCCTCAGTTTCCTTATCTTCAAAATAAGGAAGCTAAAACCAGATAACCTTGAGTCCTTTCAAGCTCCAAATATAAGTCCAGGATCCTAGAACCCTAGGTGATGTGGTCTACCTGCAGCAAACATAAAAACCTGAGTTTCTCCTTTCACATGGGAAACTCAAAGTTCTCTAATTGTGGGGACTGCTCCACCAGCTGCCTCTGCATCCTGAAGATGAATGGGGACATCTTGTCATTGTCTCTAAAAAAATAATTCCTATGCTTTGGTCTGCAGGGACCAGCCTCTGAGAGTTAAGAGACCTTAGACCTGCCCCAATTAGTATCATCTTTCCTGGTAGGATCCCAATCTCCCTTTATGCAGCCACCAATTTGTCACTGACTTATTCAAGGCCTAGGGGAAGCATTTTCTTCTCACTCACTGTCATCATCATCATTATCCCAATCTTTTCAACTTTTTCAATGAGATTCAGATAGAAATCGTCCTAGAACAAGTCCCTAGCTGGCTCATATTCCTCTGTATTTAACATGCTGGGGACTATTACACACATGGACAAAATAATTGTTTTGTGCATGAATAAAATTATTACAATGTAAACTCATTCAATGTAGGCTTACTGAAGGCAGCTTCAGCACAGGCCCAGTAGTAGATGAAACCACACAGGTGCTGTGCATCTCATCCTGTTGGTGGTAGCATGAGCTGGAGCAAAAGTGGCAATAGTCATAATAATACTAATAGAAGCAGAATGGTATAGTAGAAAGTAGAACTTGGAGTCAGGAGGATTTGGGTTCAAGTTCTGTCTCTGACACATACTGGCTGTGTGAAACTATTGAAGTCATTTGGCCGTTCGGTGGCCAAGGCAACAATTTCCTGAGACTAAGCTTCAGAACAGGTGCTGATCTGAATTGCCAGTGGGAGATCCCTCCTCAGAAGTTCTAGATCAATGAAACCACATGTCTATAACAACAGTTACAACAGTCACTGACATTTCTATGGTGCTTTGAAGATTGAAAAATGCTTTACTTGAATTATCTCCTTTGACCCTCTCCCACAACCCTGAGGAGTAGGTGCTAGTTGAACACTGGAGATGCCTTTGGTTCCAAAAGGGATAAAATAAAATGACTTTCCATAGAAATCCAAGTGGGCATCCAATGAAGTATGATCCCTACCTATGAGATATCACTCCTGCCTTCTCTTGTTTTTCCCTCTCCCTCTTTTTAAATCCCCTCTAAGTTGATTAATTTTTCCTTCTTCATCCCCCAATTTGGCAGCCTTCTCACTCTATTGTCTAGCTAATGGATTAAGACTGACTCTTTGGGTCCTTGAGATTTCAATACCTTAAACAAAGACTGTTAGCTCCCATCCTTCCTTCTTTACATTGCCCTTGTAGCCTAGGTCCCCACCTAGCCCTAAATCCTTTCAATTCTTACTTAGAAACTGAACATAAAGTGGAGCCATGTTCAGTCTCTGAAGTCAAATCTTATTGTCTCCTAGAAGATTTCCCTGAACCACTACTTGGTTAGATAGAAGGGAAATATCCCATCAGGATCATCCTCTGCCTTTATGGTTCTGGTCATAAGACCCTTGTTAGTTTGCCTACTTGAGTGTCTTCTGTCAATATCAGGACTCTTCCACTAGGGCAGGGAGTGAGGGAGACCCCATCAGATCAAGACCACAATGCCTTCCATCCTTCCTCCCAATGCTCCCCTAGACTCACCTGCCTGGATCCCCATTAGAGAAAGTACCCCCAGAATGAGCAGCAAGGATGAGAAAGACCCTCTCCCCTTCTTCTTTCTCCTTTGATTGGCCATTCCTTTCCACAGGTGATTGCCTGGCATCTGCAACCACAGTGTAGTTGGAGGAGGATTCACTCTCCAAGCTCTGTACCCCAGTAGTATCCAAAAGAGAAATAAGACTTCTATATAAACATTCACATCCCACCCTATCTTGGATTGGCCCTGTCCAAGACTAGCCCTCCTATCGTTGCTGGCTGGGATATCTGTTGCTAGGCAGAACCCGAGATGTCTGGCAACCTTGAACGTAGAAATGAAATGTAGTCTGTGGTGAGAACAGGAAACTCTAGAGCAGGGTCGCCATCAGGCATTACTGAGAAGTATGGGGAGAGGATGTGGTGCCACAGAGCCATGGAGACATAGCGTTTGCGACTGTTGTTTGAACTTAAAAAGTGCTAGGTCTCATGATGGATACAAAGATCCATCCTAGAGGACCGAAAGCATGTGCTCCTTTAGGGGATGTGTGTGTGTGTGTGTTTGTGTGTGTTTCTTCCTTTACAATGACAAGGCTTACTTGTTCACATTTTTCCTGCAGACAAAAAAGTTCAGCAGGGAAAAATGGTCTCTGACATTCTTTCCAATTCAGTAAATCCATGATTCAGTAAAGTTTTCTCTTCCTCTAAATGCCTTATTATCTTGGTCTCTGTGGTCACTTTAATCTTTTCCACCTTCTCCATGAAAGAGAGCCCCAGTGCTTGGGGATTCCCCCATAACTCAACAGTATGAAGTCTAGTGACCTCAGTAAGGGAAATGAGCAGAATCAAATGTCAAGGTGATATCTGGGGGAGAGCCAAGCCACAGACTGTGGTACAGATTGAAAACCAGGACATCCAAGAAGAGCAGTTCATTCAAGAATTACGGGATCACAGATGTCTGGAAGGGACCTTGATAATTGAGGTAAAGGAAGCCTAAAGAGGTAAATTCATGGAGATAACTTACCTTTATCAAAGGGCAATACAGAGGCAGCTAAGTGGTGCAGTGGATAGTGCACTGACCCTGGAGTCAGGAGGACTTGAGTTCAAATCAAGAGCAGACACTTGACACTAGCTGTGTGACCCCGTGTAAGTCATTTAATTCCAATTGCCTTGACAAAAAAAATAATAAAAAGGGTAATACAGTGTTACCCTAACTTATATGCCAGACTTTAAGGTCATGTGAAGTTTCAGTACAGCTATGATTTAAGATAGGTCAGACTCTGTCAATGATACAATACATTTGGGGAGAGGGTTCCGTTGAATCTCTTGACTTTCCATGAATACCACCAGAGGATTTGAACTGGCCGCTGGCCATATCTTGTTCTTTTTGAGTGACTGGTCATTTGGTAACATCATCAGTGCTTCAGACAGTCTAATTCCATGGTTCAAGGCCACACAACATCACCAAAATAATATTGGTGCTAAAGGAGGAGAAGCTTTTTTCAAGGAGAAATTTGGGGTCAAAGAACTTTTGCAATTGCTCAAAAGTCAACTGATCTGGTCTTCGCCTATTGAACTTCGGGCCCAGACACATTTGGTCAATCTCAAATATATGTCACCAATCTTCCCAGAGGCTGGGGAATGTAAGATCAGAGAAGAATGTGTTAAGCTTCTCCAATTGGTGAGGTCTTTCCAAAACCTTCATTTAGGGGAAGGGCCTAAACCAGGTCTTTTGCTTTTGTGGCCCCATCCCTCAACCCTGGACCCTTTTCAGCTCCTTTTGTGTTGTCTTTCCACATTACAATGTAATGCAATCCATTATGACAGGGACTGTTTCTTTTTGCTTATATTTGTATCCCTAGTGTTTAACACAGGTGCTTGATGTGTAGCAAGCACCTAACTAATGTTTGTTGAGTGATGGACTTATGACATTTAAAAAGTTCAAGAGACATAGTGTTTGGGTAACTTAATCATTTTATTAATAATTCCAGTATGTTTATTAATAAAAAGGATGATCATTTGGCCATCTATCTTAGACTAAAGACCCCTCCTGACAATAGGCTCACAGTTTATATGCCCTTGGAAGAGCAGGTGTTCTTGAAGGTGCAATCAACTCTGATAGGTTAACAATTAATGAGAGAATAAATATTACAATGAGAGGCTGGGCTATATTACAATGAGAGTCTTGGGGTACATGGCTTGAACCACACAAATCTTGGTAAAAGAGGCTTATTAATTTCTGTATCACCTGTCCAACAAAAGGGAGGATCCACATTTTCCCAGCCCTATCTGAGCAAACACAATGAGCAGGAATGCACCCATTAGCCTAAACTTGGAATTTCTTCTACTGTCTTTAATTAGATCTCAGCCATTCTGGCTGGGTCTTTCAGAAAGATTTCCCACACTGGTTGATTTTTGGATGAGGAAGTAGAAAAGGAGAAAAACCTTGGTCTCAGTACAATAATTAGTTATTAATACAAAAGAGAAATAATCATTTCTCTCAGACTAATTGTGTTCAGCCCCTAAACTAAAGTTGTGAGGGATACAAGAGAAGTAAAAGACCTGTTCAGTCCAAATCCTTAAGAGACCTTCTCCCTCCCCATCTCGCACCTTTTAGCTTCCTTTTCTGTATTGTCTTCCCCCATTAGATTGTAAATTCCTTGAGGGCAGAGATTGGCTTTCTTTTTCATATTTGTATCCCCAGCAGAGAGCCTGGCACATAGTAGACATTTAATAAATATTTGTTATCATTCCCATCAATCAGACTCCACTCCCTATCCCTAACACTCCTCATATCAAAGCCTCCTCTTCTAGCCACCATTCTCCTATGTGTATTGTTTTCTCCCACTGAAATATAAACTCTTTTAGTGGAAGAAATTATATTCTTTTGGTATTTGTATCCCTAGTGGTTAGTAATGCCTGACTCATAATAAAAATTTTTAAAAGCATTTCATTCATTCATTCATTCATTCATTCATTTATTGATTGATTTTGATTGATTGATTCAGAATCATCCATCATTGGAGTGTATGTGTCTGAAGCTGGAGTTTTCTTGGGGAGAATGAGGACAGTGCCACCTCATACCCAAGTGTCTGTCACCTATTTGCCAACATGCTTGGAAAAATCATTTACCCTCCATGTGCCCGGTCTCCTCACCTGTAAAATGAGGGGATTTGACTAGATGATCTGTAAGTTGTCTTCCAGCTCTCTAGTGATGATCCTAAAGTCTATAATGTCAATGTTGAATGTTGAAATCTCAAGGGAAATAATTTCAAATTAATCCTCTGGGAAGAGCAAGGCAGAGAGCTGATCTGAGCCAACAGCTCAGCTCTCTGTCTTAAGAGGTCAGAATGGAGAGACAGAATCTGAGCTGGGCCTACCCAGAAAACCAAGGGGTCTGGAGCTCTTGGCCCAAGGACTGCTAGCCCTCCCTCTCTTAATCAGTTGCTGAGGTCAGAAGCAACTGAGTATTGGGAGCTAGGGGAAGTGAGGAGGGCATGGGATGGGGAGTGAGGGGAATTCCATAACCTGCAGCTTTCTCCAGAATTAATAGGTTTTTATTCAGAAAGCCAACCATGACAGAAGCAGAGAAGCTCATCCTCTCTCCCCAACCCTCCCTCATAACCCTCAAAACTTCTCCTCTCTCAACCTGAGAGAACCTAAATTCTCTCCCTCCTCCTGACCTACAACCAGTCTTTTAACTGTAAACTCCCTCCTCCACAACCTCCCCCATTCTCCACATTTCTCAGGAAGCCTGAGTTGCCTCATTCCTTGGAACCTACAAGCTTCCTCCTTCAAAATCACCAGTTGCTTCTCCCATTGCTCCCAAACTCACAAAGAACCTTCCTTTCTAAATTTTCATTAAATTGAATTGAAGACCTGAGCCCTCTCTATTGTTCTTGTCCTGTTAATACACAGCTACCTAAGCATCCCTCAGCAGAGAGGCACCACCTACAGGACTCCATTCCTCCTCCTCTGATCCTCACCAGTTGAATTCAGATCATTCCTTGGAATACATGCTCCCTTCTCTGAGGATCTGGCTCTACCCTCTATGAAACTTGTCAAACCTATTACTTTATTCTCAAATGCTTTGTGGTCCTTCTACTTTCCTTCCCCCTCTATGTCACGTTTTTCCAGACTCCAAACTCCTGAAAAAGGTCAAAATTGTCTTCTCTTTTTTATGATTTTTTAAAATTTTTTTATTTTTTTGTTTGTTTTTTATAGGCAATTGGGGTTAAGTGACTTGCCCAGGGTCATACAGCTAGTAAGTGTCAAGTGTTTGGTCTGAGGCTGGATTTGAACTCAGGTCCATCCTGACTTCAGGGCCAGTGCTCTATCCACTATGCCACCTAGCTGCCCATTTTTTTTCTTTTTTTTTATATCCCAAGTCTCAATAACCCCATATTCTGTATTTAACTTTAACTGAGTTCAATCTTGATTTTGATGGAATATTACTATGCTGTTAAAATGGTGAGCTCAATGATTTTAGAAAATCATGGAAAGACTTGCATGAAATAATGAATAGTGAAATGAGCAAAACCAAGAGAACACTGTATACAATATTGTTTTAAGAACAACTTTGAGTGAATAAGCTATTTTGTCTGTTATAAATACTCAAACTATAAAGGACATATGAAGAAAGATGCTCTCTGCATCCAGAGAAAGAACTCATAACTAGAAGTATGTGTAGAATAATTTTAAATATATTTAAAATATATATATATACATGCATGCACACACACACACCTATCTGTGTCTAATGGTAGCCATCTCTAGGGTAGGAGAGAGAGGAAAGAAAAAAAAGAAATATGCGTGATAATTTTGTTGTATATTTGAAAGGAATAGTAAGTTGTGCATAGTAGCAGTTTCATGTATAAGCATCTTTTTTTTATTGTACTATGTTATGGAAATGCTTATTTTACTCCATAATTAAAAAGAAAATTTAAAAAAAAAGAAGCATTAGATGCTAATTCTGCCTAATGATGTGAAGAAAACAAGGAGGAAAGGAGGGCAAGCTAAAAACATGTTGCTTTTTGACTGAGACTAAGCCCTAAGGTCAGGACTCCAATAGCTACAGTGACTCACTTGGACGCATCTACGTACGCCTCCCCATCTTTGCTTTGGTGTCTTTGAAAATGTGAAGATATAGCTATCCAAGACAAGCATGACATTCA